GTGGTGGACTTCTGATTGTGATATATGGAGTTCGTAACCAACACTCGTAGCATTGCTTGTACCCTTGGGCAAGGCACTATATTTACGTTTGCCTCTCTCCACCCAGGAGCATAAATGGGTACCTGGTAGGATGGTATGGTATTGAATGTATGGGTCATGCACATTTAAGCAGCAATGACCAGGGATACTCCCCAAAGAGCAGAGAAATTTGCACAATGTGCAGATCTGCCAATTCAGTATTCCGATTCTAAAAAAAAAAAAGAAATTCTTATAAATCAAATTTTCTGTTATTTGCATTAGTGTTTGGCCCAGAGGTATTTTTCCTAATTATTGTGCTGAAGAACCCATATCAAATCTGGCTAATGTCGGATTTAATTGGATTCAATTGCACAGCTCCTTGAATAATCCTTACATGAGAGTTAGGCGAGACGGGGACATGATACTGGCGCTGTATTATGGCCGCTGTGGGTTCCCAGGGACATGGCTGTAATTTCTAATTCCAAATTTGGAATAATGACCTCAAATAAAAAAAATACTTGATTCCAAGCAACAACCGTATACATGATATTAACTTACATGGAGAATGGCCACTTCATTTTTAAGTTGCGTTTCCTGCTTTGTTGGAAATCGTAACTTGTCGATAACTTTGATGGCAACAGACCTACCAGTCTGACGATGTACACCTACAAAATCAGATGAAAATTGATATTGTGTTTATTATATTACAATAATAAAAATAATAATATAGCCATGTTTTTTTTTACAATAACTACAAGATGTATCTAATACAATATTATATCGATTTATAATTATGATATTTTTTAAGGACTACCTAAACATACCGTAAAACTTCTAATAATAACTTGGTGTTACTATTCTATGATTGTTATTTTTTGGGTGTTTTACCATTGGAGTAGTGGGTTACTATTACTAGCTTAATGTAGGCACTTAAAAATAGCAAGCCTCACCCACCCCCAACGTCAGCAATTCATAGAAATATATAACTACAGTACAAGTAAAAAAAAAACTTTTGGTCAATGAACTATCAAAAGTTCTAGGGTGGGTTACTATTAGCGGGGGTTACTAATTGAGTAATGGGTTATTATTAGAAGTTTTATGGCTCATTATCATCTTTAAATTTAATCTTACCTCCATACACAATTCCAAATTGACCTGAACCCAGGATCTCATCTGGGGATATTTGATACACTTGACTTATATCTTTCTTTTCCTCTTCTCCATCATCATGGTTGAAAATGTAGTGGGATGACTTAGATGGTCCTGTAGGTACACCTTCAAAATTAATGTAAAGTAAAGTATTAGATTTCCTTTTTTTTCATCCTTATAGTGTACTACAGTGTTACATCACGATACCATGTGATACTACTCCGTTGCTATTGGTGACACAAAATGCATTCAACTGGACGCCATGTTCTCCACTGACAAACCATTGATCCCAATTTATAATGTAATTATTAAAATGTTGTATCTTAGTTTTTCTTTGTAAATTTTAACTGATGATTAAATGTGTGTTCGATAACTAATATAATGTGAGCTTTTGTGTTTTTAGTAAATTTTGATGGTAAATTATTAGGTTTTAAAATGCCTATTCCAGAAAGCCTATTCTAAACCATTCAGATTATGAAGTCATTCAGGCATAATGAAGGGTAACCAATGTCTGGTTGACAACAAAGGGCGCCACCATGTGTTGTGAGGACACGACTGCTGTACTCTATTAACAAAAAGCTAAAAAATTGGGAATATGTGCACACTGGAAAATCCCCCTTGATTATTGGGCAGATACTAAATCCTTTATAAATATTATTAATATTTAATATTATGTTACCATTACTGGATGTACTAGTAACACTAGTAGAGCTCTGTTGAGGCGTGACCGGCATCAGTGCTTGGCGTATTGACTTCTCCCACGACCTTGCAGCTGTGATCCCATGACCAGATTCAACCATGTTACGATCTGCTGCTGGTTCTGTGCTTGGCCTACGTATGTCCCCGATGTAATAGATTACGCCCTTGGTGTGGATCTCGAAGTAGTGGCTGGCACGAGTCTCGGGAGCTGCAGCACTTTTTGATGACTCCAAACAAAGGATTTCCGATAACGGAATCTCCTGAAAGGCAAACAACCAAATGAATATGAAAAAAATAATTTGTAAGTAGAAAGGCCTCAATTATTGGCATTTTGCTGTGGTGTATCTTGGAGCTGGTAACGGTTGAGAAGGTGAATTGGAGGGCTTGATGATTAAGTGCGGGGGGTGCTAGCTGGCAAAATAAGGTGATATGACCATAATCTTTTTGCTTCAAAAATATTCAGTGGTGGGGAGCTTATTTTTGGGATGGGGTGTGCAACTGCACTGGCGTCCCTGTCAAATTCCTCACACCAGCAAGGAACATTGAGGAGGTTAAAAATATTTTTTTTTTATGCCACTCGAAAAAGTATACCATGAAAAAATAATAAACATAAAAACGAAACAGAAATTCCTGTGTGAGCACCTGTGTTAACAGTTTCTCAATAAATAAGCCATGTAGATATATGAACAATTATCATATTAGAGAGAGGGACAGGTAAAACCAAAGAAAGAGTACCATCAGAATTTGATAGGAAAATTGGCCATATGGCCTTCCAGCAATAAATAAGGTAGTTTCACTGGTAAACAGTTGGATAAGGTACACTACACCCACAAAATTACCCTTTAAGTTATACAAGATAATCCTCAGTAAACAGTCTACAATAGTTTTTGTACTGATTTCTATTGGTTAAACAACAATTTTTTGATACGGTGCTTTTCAGTCTAAAACACCAGCTTTTTTTTTATGATAATCTGTAATGTGTTGGAAAGATGTGGTTCTGTTTAAGAGAAATATACACTTTGCTTGATATTTAAAATTAAGTAAAACTTCAAATTGGGGAGAGAAGAGTAACTTTATCCAGGAAACTAGAAAAACAAATGATTGGAGATAATTTGTTTGAATTGTTAATAAATTAAAGGCAGGAAAACAAAGGGTCAAAGAAAGGTACCTAATCATAGTAACATTCAGTGATAACTTTCTCCCTACAACCCAAAAAAGTGTTATATTACCACAAATAATATATTACCATTCTAAATTATACATGGATCTATACCCAACCACAAGCTACAGTAATATTTAGTGCGCTACCAGGCAGTGGTGGCACCAGCAGGTGGCAGGGGAACATTTTCCTCTCTGTCGGACAGGCCCAGACCACCTGTCATCCGACGCATGACGTCTTCGTAAAACAAAATAAGATAAAAAAATAATAATTTGCCTATACAAATAACGTTATTTTGACCGCCAATCAATTAATTAATTAATTAATTAATTAATTGTGGTTTAAAATCACTTTTGGACAATACTAAGCCATAAAAACTCACCACGTGAACCCTAAAAGGGAGTTTTAATCCCAGGCCATCGACCAAGGCTTTGTAGGCCCCCTGGCTCTGGAACCCCCGTCAGACATGTTGGACCCCTTGTTGACAAATTTCTGGCGCCACCACTATCAGAGTTAAGCTCTGTGCACACTATCACATTTTATGTACCAATAAATGTAATATGATATTATCATGTCCACACATAACACAAATTTGTCACATAAAATATGATTGTGTGGACAGAGCATAAAGTCCTATTCAGACTATCAAATTGTATTGACAAAAACCATGTGACATGCTTAAATATGGTCATCATGACATCACATCATGATTAAATATAGGAACATCGTGACTATATATGAGCATACAACAGTTTAAAAAAAACAAAACAGTGTAATCCCTCACCTTGTAGTACCTTGTTGTATTGTCACTTTGATACATTGTCACTGCCTTGCTGTCCAATCTCCAATAATGCCGCTTTCTCTGTTGAATTCACAAAAACAATGTTTTGAAGTCAGATTTTCATCCAAAATTGTATCAATAAAGTTTTGTTTAATATCTGTCAAAATGAGAATATGCAAAAAGCATGTTCATATACTTGACATCAGAGTCCAAATGAGTTACCAATGTTGTTTCCATTAGAGGTTGAAGGTGCTGATAATATGCTTAACCTACAAAAGTACTTTGCAGAAATTACAACATCATCATTATAATTATGATTATACAGTGACAGTACGAGAACAGTGGGATCATTTTTCCAGGTTTCCGCCTCTCTTCTGAACTAATTAGAGACTAATCTACATGTAATGTACTGTCTAGTGGTACGTATCAGAACACAATCATCAATTATTGAAAATTAAACACAGTTTAGACATAAACAAATTACAAAGGAATAACATTAGCTATCACCATTGGTTGGATTACAAAGGCACATCCCCCACCAGCAAATCTCATTCAATTCGCAGTGGAGACTTCCTCACTCTAAGTAGGGGTAATGTGCAATCACTTAGTACAGGTATATCCAGGCATTAAGGTCAGTCCGGTGTCATTGTTATCATGATTACTGGTAGTGTCTTCAAAAATTTTTTTTTTTACAATAAATGTCAGGCTAATGTGTTTAATGTACATATAATGAAAAGCAAAACCAATTTCTGACATTCTTCGTGGATGTTTACTTAATGGTTATAAACTAGATTCTTTAACATTACATAATATTACAAAATAATCTATTTGTGCCAGCAAAACCATTTTTGCCTAGTTGTCAACTTTTTAAAACTAGTTTACTTTATATTGTAACTGTTCAAAAATAACACTGTGTTACTTTTAAAACAGTTACAATATAAAGTAACTGTTTAAAAATTAAAATGAGTTGAGACATACCTGATTATTAGTTATTTTCACCTTATATCTTATACTCCCAAGTGGGTAATTATAGCTGTTGTCAGGGTGTGATGGTGGTCTTGTATATCAGAAGTCTGAAGAGTAGGCTAGCCTTCGAACTAAGGATGACTGGTAATACAGTCCTAACTAAACCTGTACATACACCATTTTCCATCCACTACTTTTATTCTTATTAAATTATTCTACTGTTTGTCTTACCATGCTTTTAATATTTGTAGTAATTTTTATGTATACCAGATAAAATATATTGTAAAAATTGTATGGTTTAAATACTTCACACACACATGAGGTTTTTTGTTAAAATTTTGAAGACTTTTGAGTACTTGATCTGTTTTTGTTTAACAAATATTAACTCTTCTCAGTAATTTTTGAATTTTCTAATGCCATTTTGTATATTTTATACATGCTTGCAAACAAATAATTTACTGCTATTACTTGCATTGAATTGAAACTGAACAGAGATACCATAAATAAACAATAACTATGCTTAATTGTATATCTTACCATGTTGTCCCTGCTGGTATAATGCACCATCCAACCCTCCTTTAGAACTTGAGATCCTTTTCTTTTTGTTTGCTTTATAGATTGCACAATTCGCATCAGGGGAATGTTGTTACTCTCATTCGGACTGTAAGAAAACCAGCACAAGGCATATATTAGTATTGCAAATGTTATCCTCAGGAGTCTCCTGGAAATTAAAATGGCCTACCAAACTCTTGCGAGCAAGCAAGAATCTCTGTGAAATTAGCCCATCTTCCACAAATTCATGATATTTGTCATGTTTTTGATAATAGCTTCTTTAAATAAGGAACCCAATAAGGAAGAGAAAATAATAATGGGGGGGAAAATGGTTTACCTTTTCATATTTTTCACTCCATAAAGAAAATATTTATGTTCATGCTCATTGTTTGATATGGAGGCATGTGGTTAATAAGTGGCAGAGATTAGGCTTTCAATCCAACAGGTTACTGAAAATTACTCGCGTTTTTCTCACTCGTGAGTATGAATGGGATGCTATAAAGAATGTGTAAGCATTGACATGTAATTGACTTGACTAGGATTACACGCAGCATTCATGTGCAACATTGGTGTCAATGACCAAGGTAATAGCTCTTTCCGTGAAAATGTTACAGAAGTTTAACATTGATATTTATCAAGTAAGGTATATCATCTACCAGCAAATTTTTGACATAAGCAATGGCAATACAATTCCCATATCTAAACCAAAACAATACTATTTATAAGCTACCATACATAATATCCATGTTCACACTATAAAGTTTAATGTAACAATTAATAAAAGTTTATAAGCTATGTTCCAGTATTAATTACGTACTAAATACATTCAGTATCAAACATATATAAGCAAAATATTCAACATTATCCATTTTTTTAAATACAGTGGCATAACAACATGGGAGAAGGAGAAGGGACAGGTTTAAGTGGATGGACACAAGGATTAAGTGAGGCAGAGGTAGCTAGCAAAATGAAAGGTTTAATGAGATGATTTTTAACTACTTGGGTTTAATTTATTTTTTTGTTTTTGTTTACACTAAGGTCATAATGACCCACAATCCCACCTTAACCAAACTATGCATCCTGTGATACAGACGTTCTCTAAGGCAGAGGTTCTTGACTATATTATGACAGGGTAAAAGTTTGTAGATTGAATCAATTTCAAGGTTCAATATGCAGTCACAAAACAACCTATGGTGGGTCTAATGAGGTGTAGCTGCTCCCAGATGAAAATTAAAAAAAATGTTAAATGATGCAACAACTGTGGCTTTAACTATAACAATTATAATGGGTATTTCTGACAATATAGGCCTAGTTGTAAAAAAACAAAATGCAAAATCACTAAGCTTAGAAAAACAATAAAATATTATATTTGGCTTGTTCTAGCGGGCCGGACAACATGCACTCGCAGGCTAGAAATGGTCCGTGGGCCACCAGTTGCAAATTCCTGCACTAAGGTCCTGTTGTCCTGCATATTTTGCACTCTGTGGAAAAGTGATTCATTAGTGTACCTTAGAGGTTGAGGAGTGGAGTCTGTATCTGGAGTACTACTCCCTTCCTTATCTTCATCATCCTTCTCAAAATCACTTGTAATGCTCTCTGCTAGTGTGCTACTAGTTTCTTGATCCTCATCCACCGATGCTGGTTTCTCTGGAAATTCATCATCCCCTGTTAAAATACAAAAGTACATAATTATTACAAATATCTTGTAGAACAAAATAAAAACGTGAGAAGCCTTGGTGCTACGGTCAAGTGCTCACTATGAACTCAAAGTTTTAATGACCTTTCTGGAATGTCAATCGAACTTAACAACTGACCAATCAGAACAGGCCAGGAATATGTGCTGGTACTACAAACTTAGGAAATGTCCCACAAACACATAGTTTACACCTATTGATGGACTTTAGCAACAATATCCAAGGTGTGGGTTTTAGAGGAATGGTTCCTTATATTAAATGCTATCTATATTAGTATATTACAAACTTTCTTATAAACATCTGAAATATTCAACCGTGTCCCGCTTTGGGACTGCTGGCCAGTCGTACAACTGCTGCTCTAAAGACAATCGTAACATCAGGTTAAGTTTAGCATAATGTACTTTTAAGTAATGTAGAATATTTTAAAACTTATTCCAACATACTTTTAATTTGTTAGCAATTTTTTTCGTAAATTTTCTTTTATGTTGATCCAATAAAAAAAAAAAAGATTTGTTAGTTACATTTTGAAGACAAGTTGTTCACTTTCTCATATCGTAAAACCGAGTATAATATCAGTATTGCAGTATTGTTAATGAATATCAATTCTTGAAATTAATTATTATTAGATATCTGTATTATTAAATGTCAATATTAATATTAAATTGTATCAAATGTCAATCAACATCAATATTAATATTAAATAACTTTACAAAATGGCCATGGTGACAGAGGACAAAGCCAGCATGACAGGATTGGTTGGATCAGCAGCAAGTCATATAAATTATGCTACTTAGTACAGCTCTGATATTGGATGATAGAAGCACTGAAGCATGCAACTAGTATATTCTAATTATAATTCTATGTATCTAAATACTGCCCTCTATGATGACCACCTTTGATCTACATAGTGTAGACAGAATAAAATTATTCTGTAGGTCTTTGTGTAAACCAACCTCGAGTATAGGTCCACTCCTTAATTTATGCCCATTTTATGTACTAAAGTTTCCCAGAGTGTGATTTTAATGAGTAGCCCAGTTGTAATTTACAAATACAAATCAGAAATTGTACTTTTTAATTAGGCAAGCAAAGTTGAAAAATTGCTTTTTGATTGGCCATCCCTACAAATATTTTTTTTTTCCTCCGGTTATATGCCTATCCCAAAATTTGTTCAAAGGTGGGCTTAAACCAGAGGGAGTACATTCACTTACTGATCAGGCAATACATTCCAGGCCCGTATCCAGGAGGGGGTTTTCTAGCAAACCCCCTTCTTTGGCGAACCCCCTCTTCAAATTTTCCAAATAAGTCCTCCAACCCAACTAATGCACTGCAGACCCACCCAGACACAGACGTTTTCAAACATATCTGCTTTTATAGCATTATTTAGAACCATAAAGCACAAAAACCCTCTTGCTTTGGGGGTTTCGGCGACCCCACCAGGGCTCTACCGTGGATCTCACACCCAGAAAACCCTCCCTTGGAAGAACCTGGCTACGGGCCTGCATTCATAAATTATAAACAATATTTTTATTCCAAATACCTAATTTCTTATTAATTATAAACAAGTATCAATTGATTTAGAATTACATAACAATATTCTGTTATATTATCAAGTTATTCATTAGCCTTATAGTTTGACACTATATTTCATCCAACATAAACTACTCTTAAACCAACAACAGAAGTTTCTTCAAGCGATACTATACTGAGAACAATAAAAATAACCATAATAATACCAACACAATAACAACAGTACAGCAAACTCATGGGAACTTATATTTCAGAGTTTTGAATGCTGCAACAATATAGTCAGATTCCTGCATGTTCTCTTATTTTGCAGATATTTAGCTTCCACAAATGAGCAGAAAATACAATTACTAAAAATAAATTAGACACAGGGATTAACAAAGCAATAAATTAACATACTGGTAGCTCAGCATAAAGAAAATAAATAAGAATGTTACATCAGATGAGAAATGCATTTAAGACTTAAAGCCGTTATTGTCAAAAGACATGGGGAAAAAAATGAATTTATAGGAACCGAGTTAAGTTAATCATAGGCAGAGCCTATGTATGAGTGCTGATGAAGGCTAGGAGGGCCTATGTACAAGTGTTGATGAAGGTTGGCATTTGACAATGTTTTCTGAATAATAATGTTGTTCTGCACATTCATCAGTCTACTTTCATAATAAGGCCCAAAACAATAAATTTTGTGATGGCCACGTCTTTGGAAAATACTAAAAAAATGGGTAGGCCAGTACGAAAATTTTGTTTATGCCTAGCAGAAATTAAAAAGTAGAACATACACAAAAATACAACAAAGACTATTTTTAAATCTACATTAAAGGGCAAAATGTCGCATAACACTCTCGCATCACCTACTGTCCAGCAAGATAGGCTTAGGTCAAGTTTTATCAACAGAGATGTTATAACATTTAAGAGTTAACATATGGTTTAACAATTCTATTAATATACCATTAAGAGTTATATCGTATGGTATAGCATGGGATATAGTAATTGCTGGCGCATGAGCAATCAGTACACAGAGGTAAACAAAATTTAGTAGTGAACAAGACCCTTAACACTCAATAGTGATTAATTATTGAAATATAGTCATCTTGCTAATAAGGTCAGTAGCAAAAGCCGTGGAGTTAATAAACTTATATAGTAACATCTCCCACTTACGTACCCCTCCATCTCAACAGATTTCATAAACGAGAAATTTTGTAATTCAGAGAGCGAATTTTCATTCCATTTCAGTGGTGTGGGTAGGCCTAGGCATATGCTACATAGTACAGGACTGGGTAAGCCTAAGCCTTGCCATGGAGCAAATTTTTCTCATGAAATATCATGACTTGGATTTTACTGTTTTCTGCAACAAAATAATACTGTCCAGAAGCCAAAATTATCTGTACTCAATGTGAAGTATTCAATTGAAGTGATTAACATAATTAGCAGAAACTAGTGTTATTATTCTGCTCATACAGATAGCGAATCCATTCAGTTAGCGCCCCCAATGAACTAAAAGTGAGATTCTTTATTCCTAATGTACAATAGCTGCTTGAACAAGCATGCTCAGCTCAAAATGGTATATATCTCGACTGAAACCAATTAATATCTCTTGCTTTAAACAAAGTTTTGTCAATTTATTAACTGAAATGCTTTCTTTCTTATCTGAGGTAACATTTTATATTATTTTTTGATATTTTTGAATTTTACGAAATAAAATTTAAGTGTTTTTGTAATTAAAAAAGATTGTTTGTAATGATGTCATTGTGAAATGAGTTTGTAAAATTGATAATTCGTAATTGGGAGGATAGGAGGTTTTACTGTAATAGCGCAACTCCCCAGGTTACATCACAATAGTTGCGTAAAAATTCTCAAATTGTGGGCTTGATTAGTACCAGTTTGCTTTAGTGCTGAAGTATTTTCAATCTGAACTATTGTTTTGTGCAGTTGACTGCAACATTATTTAATCTCACAAATATCTGCAGTAAAAAATTAGTGATAGCCATGTCTCAACGTAAGAATACAGCAGTGCCAAGTACATAAAAACAAATCCACAAGAGTTGACAGAATCGGAAAATGTTCATAAACTTCTATGAAATAACACCAAAAAGTTTTTATTAATATATGACAATAAAAAAATATATACTTTTTAAAGATCAGACTTTCAATTTCTTAACCTATACAGTACATGCATCTTTAAAAAAATATTATGAAGTATTTTACAGAAAAAAACAATATTTTTATATTGCGATGTAAAGCCATTGAGCAATTTTCTGAACATGTAAAATTCCCATATTTTCAAAATTCAATTTATAAAATCCAACAGTTAGGGGAATACTTTCCTTTATTTTAACATATTTAAATAAATTAGTTTTAATGTTCATCAACTGCAAAAATCAATTTTAGTGAAAAAAATTATACATTAAAACAAATCCTATATTGATGAAAGCTCAATAATATGTAGAATTGATGAAAATGTTTTAAAATAAAGTGAGAAAAGACAAGTAGTTTAAACCATTGTATACAAGAGTTTAGCGCAAAAACAGCCCAAAAATTTATACCCTGCCAAAAAATGGACTGTTCCAAATCTAGTTGTTAGTAGCGAGACACTGCATTTCAATTGCTACATCAAATTTATTCATAACTAAATCAAATTTGTGCTTAAAATGATGAGTTACTATCTATCGACCAAATGTATGACTCTCAATTCAGAGGACCTAATAAAATATGTAGTAAATGTAAATGCATCTGCATATAGTATTTTTTTTTACAGGTAAACAAGCAAACCACATGCATACACGGGAGATGCATACATGGACCTAGACTCAATTTAAACCAAGTGAGACCTGCTTGTTTAATATACTGTAGTACCAACAAGATCAACAACTATGTATCAAACTAGCCCTTGTTTAAGCCTTGGCTTGTGATCACAAAATAAATATTATCACGTAGGTAAACAAAAGTGAGGTGATTGACCTAAGAAATGGGACCGCCCTTCTGGTGAAGATGAGCTCTCAGTCACTGGCAAATGGTACAACAAACACATTCAAATAATAAACGTGTTAAGGATACAACAAAAGTAAAGTAGGCCTACTGTAGTATGTTAAAGGGTACTGATATATTAGTATCTATTATGATAGGGCCTTTATAGGGCCTTTACAGACTAAACGATAATTGTGTACAATTTGCTATAAATTCGAAAATGAGTTAATTTAACTGTTATACATTCTAAACTTCTCTATTTCATTTAACTGTATGTTTATATTAATTTTTTGAGGTGTTTTATTCAATGTTCAGAATAGTTAACCATCATGTAACAACCGAATGACCACATACAGCAACTACATCCATGAAGGTTTGCAGGTGGCCTCACATAACATACATATGAGTACATCCAGGTGGAATACAATAGATTGAGTCGCAACCCAATAGCAATGAGACTTGGAAGCAATCAGCATGAAATTGTGTGTGAAGTCAAGCTCCGGAGAAAACATTTTTTATATGTTTTAGAACTGAATTTATTTTTCTAAGACAGATAAAAGTTGTTTGACGAAAAACTGGGTAACGGTTAATGAGATACAGATTTTTAAAGATTTAAAAACTGGGGGAATGGTAGAAAAAAGGGTGATTACGCCCAGTTTTAAATATTCAAAAATCAGTATCTTATTAAGCGTTCCTCAGTTTACTTTATTCTGTCTTAGAAAAATCAGCTCTCCAATATATCAAAACAGTTTTTTTCTCCGGAGCCTGACTTTAAAACCCACTTTAGTATCAAAAATTTGCGTTACAATGAATATACTTGGAGCATTTATAAAAGGCAGTGGATGTTTAGCCGATAGAATGCTTAGTTGTTTTAAACAGTATTTTCATGATGATTATAGTGAGGGCACAGTCAAATCTCGTGTTTATAGATAGTAAAATTTGTTTATAAAAATACCCTAGTCTATCAGCAAGAATGAACATACCTCATCTTCGTCGGAGATACAAAAAATTAATATTACTAATATATAACAGCAGGCCCATAACTAGCTTGATTAACGGTTAGGATTAATTTAAAAACTGAAAGGAAGTCACTTTCTGTATGTAGGAAATAGGTGCCCCCCCCCCCCCCAATATCCCAATAAGTGATCCAAGAAAATTGTAGATGTTCCGGAAATATGCTTTCCGATATTTTCAGGGAGCATTTTACAAGCATAAGACTAATAGTTTTCTTTTTGAAAGTAATTTCTGCCTTATGAAATTTTAATTGGGTGCTCTTCCAATCCCCGGTCCAGTGGTTACGGGTCTGGAAAATATTAACATTGATAATAATAATCAATAATATCATCACCATAATTTATTTATAACAAAATGAAAGTAAGTTAATGTTATTGTAGAGATGAAATAGAGAATATATGAAATATTACAAATTAAAGAAGCAATCAAAGCAATACTTGTTAGATGTTCAAATTTGTTAGCATCCAGTACTATGCTCATTCAAGCATGTTAGTTGGAGAATTAGGTCAACTATAAAAGCAAATGGATTTACAATATTTACAACAACTTAACGCAGAAAACATGAATAATACATCAACCTTAAATCAAATCTTTCATTTCCAATATGCTGTTCCTTTCTGTCATAATAATAATAATAATAATAATAATAATAATAATGATAATAATAATAATAATAATAATTACAAAAATAATAATAATAATGTAAAATAGAACTTTGATAAGTTAATCAATTTAGCCTCACACAATATAATAGGAATCTCAATGGCAATAATTTCATGACGACAAAAATGGATTTGGGTAATTAACACTCTGCCTGCCAAACACGAAGATCTCCGTGTTTGGTAACGCAACACTTGACTGCCAAACACGGAGATTTCCGTGTCTCAGGTTTTTTTTTATGGAATCCGATAGATGAATTGTTAGTACCGACATGTACTAACAATTTGATCACTATATTCAGTCTGGACCGTAATCATTTCACTATTTGTTTATTTACATTGCCGTAGAGCAGTATTGATTTACTTTCACGAAATCATGATTATCTCAGCTTCGTTGTGCAAAATTGCGTAAAAATGTCCAAAAGTGAGTCATTTTCATTTTACTGTTACGGGTCACAGATTGTGATTAGATTAAATTGTTTGGTACCAGTGTAAAGCTAAAATGTTTTTAGTTCTTGTAGTATTCACTACATGTCAATCTGATCACATACGCACTCTCAACGAGCTTCGGAAAAGTGTTAAAATTTGCTAAAAAGTTTGGTGGTGGCTGATACTATTTTTTTAAACCCCTGGCGGTGAGAGTGTTAATAGCCATAAATACTTGAAATTTATTTAAAAACATTACAATAAGCATTACTAATTAATTCAACGTATTTCCAAAAGAAGTATATAAAGTGCAGAATATTAACTAATGACAGAAAAAGTATAAGCCATGACACACACAGGTTGGCCATGACATATAAGGTGGCCAAAACATATACAAGCTGGGCAGGACACATTATAAGCTAACCCAGTCACTAGGTGGAGGTCTTCGCTGTCCAACTGGGGATGAAAAGAATTTAGGTGTGAAGGTGGGGGCCTTGGTACCTAGAAAAAAATGGTTATTTTAGACAATTTTAAAAAGCTGTTTGAAGACATATGGCCAACAATTTTTGTTCAAATTGTTTTTTTCCCTTTTGTTGGTCCAGGTTGTGGCAGAGGGAGGCTGAGGCTGCTTAACTGGGAGGGGCTTAAACGCTCTGTACGAGCTGCTGCCTCTCAGCAGATCATGCAGGCTGGCCAAGACATATCACAGACTAGACAGAACACATGAAAGCTAGCCAAGATAGATGCTGGCCAGCAGACACAGGGTGGCCAGAATACATAAAGGTGGCAAGGACACATTAACACATACAGGCTGGCCAGGACGCAGACAGGCTAACCAAGATGCACACTGACTGAAATAAGTAAATCGCACAGCATCCTAAGATCAGGTATGGGCCAGTTAATTAAACTTTTTATCACTTATTTAGAAAAATGAAAATCATAATTTTAAAATTATTATTATTAGAATTAGTATACCTTATTTATAACACCAAATCGAAATCATACCTTTATTATAATGAATTGTAAAAAATTATTTACCCTTATGATCTCACGAGAAAGAAAAAAACATTCTGTTACTTGTGTTAGTGCAAAGGGTGACATTATGAAAGTTTTCGTTTGCATGCTTCTTTCCAAGATCCACTTCAAATTCCAAGGTTAAACATTAGGACACACATCAAAAAGTAAACTTGGGCAAATCATATAAAATAATGAATAATATTATTAATAATTGGTGTGAGATGTAGGTCAATAGGCGCAGAACTATGTTAATAAGAGGTGGTTGCAGCAGGCTGGTACATACCTTCTTGACTCATGGACGACACGTACCAGACCGGTTGACCATCATCAGCTTCCTTAATGCTCCCACTTGAGCCTGAGAAGACAGCACGCATTCTACTCTATCAATTCATCCGACATGTTTCATTTCAAGATTATTAACTATTACTACAATTTTACCAAAAAATTTGGCATTATATTAAAGATAGTAGGAAATACCCATCACCAATAAAAAAAAAAATATATAAAAGAATTATGATACTAGAATGACCAAAGCATTTTGACCCAATGGTCAGTATACCATATGCAATAGTCAGTATACCTTGAATGAAGCTCAACAGGAGAGAAGCATACAAATCTATCAATAACATGATGCCAACCGGTTATTCAGGAGCAGAGAGGAAGATTTTTGTTGGTTTGATTTTCTTCATTATCTTCTTGCTCATTTTTTCCTCGATTATTATGATGACGATCAGTGCTGTCAATTCTAACATATTTAGCTTGCAGTCTTATATAACTTAATCCAGTGGTGAGTCCAGGAATTTGCTAACAGGGGTTCAAAAGGTCGGACAGGATGAAACCCTCTTGTGAGGGTCATGGTGGAGAGATTTTATGGTTTAGGATGCCCAAAATTGTGCTTGCAGACCACAAATTTAGAGACACTGATCAAATAACTGTGTTTTTTATCAGGAAAATAATACTTTTAGTCAGACGATTCCGTCATAGCTTTGGACAATGGGGAGTCGAAGCTTAGTCGGATGGCAAAAATTCCCCCAACCCCTGTTGGTGTTTGAGAACCTTGCAGAAACAGTTAAAACGGTTAAGCTCTTGCTCTTAATTGCTTTATCTTTTATATGGGGTAATGCGTGGTATAATGTAGCTGTACGATGTTTATATATTGTTAACTTATGCGGCACACACTGGCCAGGATAATTACAGATTGCCAATGCTAGGTAGAGGCTGGCCAGGTCACCAGGGTGGCACCAGAATACGTCTGATAGTCGGTGGGGAATGGTGTCTTAGCTGTCCCAACTCGGGTTTGACGATTTCTGACCAGCAGGGTTTAGGGGCGTAGCCTTGAGGGGCCCTGGTGCCTAGAAAAGCTTGGTAATTTTGAGAAATAAAGAATGTAAGTCTTGAAACTAGAATTCATATATTAAATACAAACATTATATATTTAGTTTAATGAAAAAAAAAATCTATATCAAAAGATTACTTATAATATCAGTCACAAAATATACCAAATCTTTTAGAATGGATTCAAAATCATGTTTCCTGTATGCCCAGCACTGTGTACTTAAAAACACTGGCAAAATCATATGATCCTGTCACATTTTAAAATGTACCAAGAACATTAATCACTTTGCTTTGAAGGGTAGAACCAAATTCAATTTACATCCGTCCACTTGTAACACGACAAAATAACATACATGAAGAAGTCGACACAATCTCATGTTTCTAGTGTATTAATCTCATAAAAACCTTTCATAGCAGATGAGGCTGAATGTGTGTTGTGAATTCTACAATAAAATTTGGCTAAAATAAGACTATAGGGTCAATGTTTCAATGAATAGCTGGATGTACCGGTACGATGAACAGTGGCAGATCAAGAAATTTTAAATACTGTAGAGGACGCACAGGGAGGGACTTTCAGATGGAGGACCTAAACCACCTTAGCACCACCATGGCTCACCTCAGTCCTACCATGGTTGGGGCTGAGCCAAGAAAATTTATGATTAAGATACCTCTAGATGGCCAGAAATGCCACTCTTAGACCTAAATTTAAGTATAATTTTCCTTTACTCTCTCTTTTTTTTTAATTTTGGAAAATTTAGGGGAGACCTGGCTGGCTGTATCCCCCTCCACTTGAATCTGACACTGATGAGTCACTATAATCTCTCTTTTTTTTAATTTTGGAAAATTTATGGGAGCCCTGGCTGGCTCTATCCCCCTCCACTTGAATCTGACACTGATGAGTCACTATCATTATCTATTCTTAAATATTGTCAAACAACCTAGGGCTTGTCTTTAGGTCAACACAACGTAAATCACAAATATTAATAATAACCTCAGCATAACATTTGAATATTAAAAGAGCTCTGTATAAATTGGCCACAATAATAAAAGTACTACTAATAATATCTTATTTGAACATTCCCTTTTATAATTAGCAAATGGAACAATTACCCATGATACGGCAAGTTTTACTTTATTTGGAGTATGTTTTATACTAAGTTATCTAAAACTTATCAGTGGACCTACTATTTTTTTTTTTTACCCATGATAAATTTTCTATTTAATTTTTAATCCAATCAACAGCTTTATCTTGATTTAATTTTTATGTTATTATTTATAGTTAAGTGGTGTCAGGCTTGATATGCCTCAGCTATTTCTTGGTCACCATTTGTACTTTTTTCGAGAGCATACAATAACAATAAACAGTTCAAAATTTGCTATTTCAAAGAATCATTCATATCCATGACACAATTATCTATGAGTTACGGTGAGTTCTCTTGAAAACCGAGACAGACACGGTTGTCTTATCATTCGTTGTTAATTAGAATGCCACGATAAGGACTAAAAAACTCCGCCACGAGAAATCATTCTTGGTCTGCTAGACATGGAATTTAATCTGGAAATGATAACTGCTTTTTAAGGGCCCCCCTTTCTACTGCCTCAGGATATCGTTCCTATGAAAGAATCACTCCTAGTAACCATTTTTCTTAGCCAGTTTAAGCACACATCATCTATTCGCCAACATTAACTATCTATTCATTGATACAAGTAACATCATAGGAATCTAAAGAGCAGATAAAATGTGTTCCAACACTACTGTAAACCCACTGAGTCCTGTCAAAAATATTCATGTAACTGTGAATATATTTGTAATTTGTTTAAAAAAATATTATAATGATTAATATTATCAGAATATTATTATTGATACAAAAAAGTATCAATGTTTTCCAACCAGCAATTTAAAAAAAAAATTATTTATTCATTTATTTGTTTAATTTTTTAAAATTTTTTTTAAAAACAGTTTCTAAGTGCTGAAAGTTACAAACTAAACCAGTGAACACATGTATTTATTTTATTGTAAATACATGACACATTACTATGGATGTAATGAATGATGTACATATTTAAAAATATAACATATCTACATTATAATATTTTATGACATTCCCCACCTCCCCACTCTCTCCCGGGTCTTGCACAAATTAATTTTTTGATTAGATTTTTTTAATCAGAAGGCAATTCGACGCTCTAAGCTTCTTCGTTAAATTCCTACATGGAATAGTAAGCTTCAATGACACAATTACCTATGGCACGTTTACAATGTTACTCAAGGCATAATTAGATACAGCACATTTTAACTGTGGAATATTTGTCTACATGGCATAATTACCTAGATTGATTCTGTCTAAGAATAGCAGCACAATACTAGATTATTATCAATAACATTATATTATATGCACTGCCACACACTCACAAAAATCATATTTAAAAAAATGTTTGAGCATATGGAAAATTGGAAGATCCTTAACAAAATTTAAAACAAAGTTTAGGCTATCGGCCATGTCACATTGTGATGTAGGATATCATCACTAAAGTAATATAAAAAGGTAAAAACAACCCAAAAATTATGTTAATGTGATTAAATTTAATATCATTAATCAATCTGTGATCTACTTTTTAAATTCCAATCATTAAAAAGAAATTCAGATTTCATCATTATTAATTTACAATGAGTACCAAAGTCTGTGCTACCAATTATTAAATCTATACACATTGTATCCTGTTTTAACTATCAAATCCTGATTTTTTCCATTTAATTTCCAAGTACATACCTTTATTTACATTGCAAGCCAATTTTCTTATCAAGTTACATTGTAAATATCTTAAAACGCATCTGCACCAAGCATGGCTGTATATCAATATTTTTGATAAATTTGGCACTGATTCGGACACATTTAAATTGGGCTTCACATTTAATATTATTAACAACTAGGTATTATTTTTCATGTAGTTTAACACTGAAATTAAATATATCTTGAAATATAACTGCAAATTTCTATTGAGAATTCCAAAACTTGATTACCAGCATTAGGAATAACAATTCTACAGATTAGTAAAATTATAGCCATCACCATTAGATAAAATATTAGTTGCTCTCTCAACCTAGGGTGCGTTTGGGTGAAATAAATCCGGAAACGGCCATTTGCAGTTCTTGCCCGAACGGGTGTTAAACGCGGACCGCCTGCTGATATTTGCTGATAATCCAACGCTACAAATTGCAGCGTTTAGAGGAGCAAAAGCAGCATGCTTTAGCAGCAAGGAGCATTCGTTATTACTTAATCCCTTTTTGATTGCTCTTTTATTGTTTCAACATGTGCCAGAAGTAAAGTCTGTTTAAATTTTCATGGTCCCTGCTTTTTTTAGTTTAATTCCAAAAACAAAACTGAAAAGCTCGATAAAATAAATTATTTCAACGGAGGGCTAGCCTAGAATCCAGATTGTTACCCTATTACATACGTCCGCCGCATGCATGCGTGATCGTGGTACCACTGCTTATTCGTTTAACAATGGTAGTAATTTTCTGTTTTAAACTACCACTGCCAAACGAATGAAAGTTTATTCTCGGTCATGCCCAAAATACACATTTGTGATTTATTGGGAGTTTTTAATGTAGGCCCTATGCTTTTTGAAGTTTATTGTTGTAGCTTCTTCGGTCATTTCAGTACTTGATTTTGAGACAACATTATGCAGTGTACCAACGCCAATGTCCGTTTCTTAATTAAAACGTGGGGTGACGCAGGGGTCCAGGGAAACTTGATAAAACTCATCATTTGCATAATACCTTACAGTAGGTCTTACATCAGAAGTTAATGGTTTTTTGAAAGCCGAGTTCTCCACGAACCGGTAGACCACCTACGGATACAATACCGATTTCCATAATAGCACATGAACCACTTTAGCAGTATATGCACAGAGCTGCCAATGTGGATTCTTGACAAGAGCACATGAACCACTTTAGCAGTATATCCATACAGCTGCCAATGTGGATCCTTGACAAGAGCACATGAACCATTTCTGCAGTATATGCATAAAGCTGCCAATGTGGACCCTTGACAAGAGCATATGGACCACTTTGACAATAAGCAAGTGGAGCACTTTAACAGTATGTATAGAGCTGCAAATGTGAATCCCTGACAAGAGCGCATGGACCAATTTGGCATGCATGAAGTTGCCAGTGTGCATGTCAAACATTCAAACAGTATATGCATGAGACTGCCAACATGGAGCTCTGACAAAGAGCATGTGGACCACTTTAGTATAATGTGCGGTGCTACCATTTTGAAAACAAGACAAGCATTTGAAAAACTAAATAGTGTATTCATGGTGCTACAATTGTGAATCCTTGAATTGACAACGAAAACAAATTGCTATAAGATAAAGTGTATTTTTGTTTGAAATTTTCATTATTACTCTTCACTTTTTATAGAACTACCGATTTAAATTTCTTCAATAATGCCTACAACAACTTATGTTTGTATTTTGATAATCTTTGAAACTTTACCTTTAGATTATAATTTTCTATACGTTTATTCCCTCTGCCAAGAAGGTTATATTCCCCACTCTCTGTATATCCGTCTGTTTGTTTGCTGGATTATGCAATAATAAAACTGAGTGAAAAAGTAGAGTAGAAAACAAGGTGATTAAATTTTGGGGGAAATGACAGATTTATACACTCTTTTGTGTGACCGCTGTAGTTTTCAAGTTTAATACGTTATCACCATTGCTGTTATATTCTCTTGGGTTGTATTCTGTTTGATAGGAAGTTAACATTTAAAAAAATTGAATACTGTCAGGGCATTATCTCATAATTAAGACATACAGTCGACCTTCCCATTTACGAACTTCTCATTTATGAACCTTCTATTTTACGAACGTTTGGCCGATGACGTCATCGCTAGATTTACTCACCTTATTTATGCTATTTTTATTTATTTTAAAAAAAAACGAATTACAAATGTCATTAAAAATTGCATTATAGTACTAGTTATACAGTCATTCCATAAATACATCATACAGTACTACTTTAGGCTTAGAAAAATCAAACCAATACATGATGTAAAATAATCAAAACTAGGCGAAATTTAGGCAGGCAGTGCATGCTGCTAGGCCTACCTTGTCTGGGCTAAGGGCAAGACTGGGCAGCCTATACCAGGGGGCCTACCCTACTCTGTCTATGGTTAACTGCGGTCTAAATGCACTGTAAATCAAATCAGCTAGTCCAAGTATGAATGTATGGTAACATCAACCTTTTATCTTTTTAAGAATAAATCACTGTTCGGATATTCAATAAGCATCTGTATTAATTATTTGTTTTTCACTGTCAAAAAAAACCAAAAATGATTAGCAAGCTGCTCTATTTTTAGAAGATGACATCAGCAATTACCCATCATTCAACACTACAGGTACCAAAACCACATGTTTGGAAGTCAGGAAGGTCGAAAAAATAGGAACAGTTTCCTTTTTTAATTTATACAAAAATACCTTGACTTAAATAAATAATAAGCCCGGTGCTTTTAATACAAATTATATCAATGTTTGTTGAATAATTTGCTATAAATTACGGACAGAGGCCTAGCTATAGTTAGCAGAGAGCTGCTGCTAGGCCCAGCTAAACCACCACACTGTATGTTGAACAGTCAGCCTATAGTGACATGGAAGATTAGGTCGGTCTATCCATGGAACGATTTCCTTAGCCCATTATGAATTGATATTTATTATATTAGTTATGGCCTAGTTATAGGCTACAACCTGGCATTTTTAAACTTTAGGGCACTATTCTTACGAACTTCTCATTTTCTCAATTACGAACTGCTTTCAGCCCAAAGTGTACGTAAATGGGAAGGTTGACTGTATTTGACAAAGAAATAAGTTGCAAGTAGTAGACTTTATTGTGGAATACAATCTTGCAGAATAGTTTTAGTAGCTTATAGTTCAGTTTTACTTCATACAAATAGATGGCAACTGATTTGTTGTTATAGCATATAACACTATAGATCCTATGTTCCCAAATGTGGCATTGCCGACATTTCCTGAATTAGGCCTACATGGGAGTTTAAAGGGATGCATACTCTTAAAAATGTTAAAATATGTCAATCAATCTGATGTATATCCTGCTATGCAATACTGTTGTACTGTACCTAAAATAGGCTTTTAGCCTTGTTTTTGGCAAATCCTCATAAAAAAAGTTGACATTTTGGAAAGCAATTCCTTGCTCTGCTTGCATGAATTGGGTGTAAGATTTGAGTGATGTATCCGCATCACTTACGATAGCCTTAAGCCACTTTCAGACAGAGTTACCTCAATATTGCGGAAATCTTCCTGGCATTGCCTTTAGTATGAATTGGTCAAAACCAACCATTTATGCTACACAATAATAAAGCAAGCCCTATCGTCCTTAAAAAATTCATTTACGTGGTATTACTAGGGGGGAGTGGTGCTATAGTATGCCTACATTGAAACTCTTAGGCAAATATAATAGTAATACTGGAAAGTATTGTTGCAGCTTGTACAGTAGGTCCAGTAGGCCTAAATTATACTATAAATCTAGGCCTAGCATAATTATGACAGGCCTACTTGCATTTTTTATACAAATGACATTACCAATGGCCTGCCGGAATACATAATCCATCAATACAGAAAGACATTATCAGTGGGCAAATGTTGATTTATTTGTGGAGTCTGTTTTGGAAAGTGGACTGTAAGACTTCAAGGGATGTATGCTGCCAGGGTCAGTAGGACGACAGTAGCCAAGTATTCGCTTGGCAATATTGCTTCTGTGAGTCGAGATGGGGTTAAAAGTCCAATAATAAATTCACACTTTTGTTTCACAGAGAGTGTGTGAACTAAAGGGTTGCACATGTTTAAGTTTATTATTAATTGCAATTTCCAAGAGCAGTATATGCTTATATGATATGAAATATAAAGCTTTACAATATAACAAAAACCCTACCTAGTTTAATTCTCTTAACCAATGAAAATGTAACTCTCTCCACTCCTGCCTTCATGCTTTTAACTTGTATCACACCAAGTATACATATACACATATTGTCTTAGAGAATATAGTTTATTATGTTTATTCTTCAAAATTTATTGATATCATGCAATTGAGCATGTGGCTGCCATGTTTGTTATCTATATAAAAATTGAATTGAAATAAATTAAATTAAATTGTAAAATTAGAAAAAAGATCAGAAGATAGTATCATAGAAAAAAAACCCCACAGAATAAAGGCCAACTCAGACAGCGTCGTATGACGCAGCCCAATGCGATTCATCGTCGGGGACAGTCTTGAACCGTCGTGAGAAATATTAAACATGTTTAATATTCTACGACGCGACTGCCCCGACGCAAACCATCGTATCTGTGTTTAACTCACACAAACGCAACGCGACAACAAATAGCGTTGAACTGCGTTGTACAATGCTATCTTAGCTGGCCTTAACAAAACCCCATGCAATTTAGAGGAATTACAAAAATCATCAATTAATTAATATAATGCAGGAGAGTAGACACCAGCTATTATAGATAATGACTGGCTAGAAGACTTGATGTGGAATAAGTGTTTATTTCTGTATTTTTATCTGTACAGCAGCAATGGCACAGGAAACTAACTTTCAGCACTTTTTCTGAAATGCTCAACATTTGCATGATCCCATATTTCAATGTGGATTCACTGTTTAGTCACCAACTTGGTTATGATGTATGGATTGGATTGGATTTACACCAAAGATAGCCCACAAAGGTCTAGAAGAAGACTTATTTCCAGTGGGGTCCTTCTGGTGGTGATTGGGCAGTACACCGGGAGACAATTCCCTACTCTTTCCGAAGAGTGTACTGCGTTCTTCTACGTGCACATGGGACATAATGCACACAGGACCAACGGCTTTAACGTCTCATCCGAAAGACGGTGCGCTATTGTAACTTGTATTTCAGCCCTCTAGATGAAACACAAGGAGAGGCAGCGATGGGAATTCTCCACAGTTCAGCGCACACACAGCGGCTACCACCAGATTAGCCGACTGAGCTAAGCTGCTCTCTCCATGATGAGTGTACCATAAAACCACAAATAAAGAAAAACATGGGTAATTATAATATAAAAATATAATATAAAATTTTCTTTGCATGCATAAGAGCACCCTGTATGCATGCATAACAAGTGGTACCTTACCTTCTCTCAATGCAGCCTCCCCAAGACAATCCTTGGGAACTTTCTCACAGCATCTCTTATGACAATTAAACTTACAATCTAAATTTGAGATAATGAAGAAACATGTCAGTAATTTTATAAATGTCTTAAAATAAAATTATTGATTTTTATCAATCCATTATATACAATAACAACAGCACCACATACTTTTCTTAGAATGTACCTCTATGTGAATGTACCCCAACTTATCAGTAGATTTTATGGTAAATAATAAAGATAAAATAACATAATTCCAGCAAGTCAAGGGGCCAAATGGCAAGGTAGGGGCGCTGTTATCAACACCCTTAATATCAGTGCTGGTTCGAACTGATCCTCACCTATGGTTCGGTAGACGAAATAAAGTCTTCTCAGATAAGGACTTAAAACCTAGGGTGCAATTTAGAGGACCAATCGCATCTTTTGAAAGAGTAGGGGGTTACACGGATGCTCCGATTGATTTTTAGTCCTATCAATGTGAAATGATGTGAACATGAAGCCACTGGACTATTAACGCCTCTTTATGGCAGCTAGGTATCACGTACTATTAATGCCTCTTTATGGCAGCTGGGTATCACAGACCACGCCCATACTCAATTCAGCACAATGACACTGTAAGTTATGGGTTATTCTTCTTTTTATCTTTACCTTTAAAAATATTTAAAATAATAACAACAATTGATACTTATTAGTATAATGTCCTTATCCAGTTACATCTCCCAATTACATACCCTCCTTCTGAACAGAGTTTGTAATATTGACAGATTTTTAAAGCATCTGGGTCCTGCGGGATAGGCCTAGGCCTAGCAGTACACAAGGCTAAGCTAATGCATTAGCCTTGCCATGGGTGCAAATTTTCATCATACAATATGACTTAAATTTACCGTTTTGTGCAACAAAATATTACAGTACAGAAGCCAAAATTATCTGCCCTCTTTTAAATGATTTATGAATAAATTCAATAAGATTGTTTGTTGTGATGTCATCACCACAAATGGCATTTGTAAGACAGAGTTCATAATTGGGAAGTTTCATAATTAGATGTTACTGTAATATCATTTGCAAAGATAACAATGCAAAGAGATCCCTATCATCAATAATTAGTAACAATACAATGAGATTACTTTTCAAGCATGCATTAGATAATTAATAATTAATTTCTGTGATTGATAACAAGGTAAAGAGCTGCATTAATAAAACCTGTGCTACATAATGCTTCAAAATGAGTAAAAAACCAAAACTGATGAATGAAATATTAAATATTAGGTACGTAGACACTGCCTTCACTGCTGGCCTCCAGTGATGAATAGAAGCACTAGTTAGAAGATGCTACCGTAAGATGTTGAACATTTCATACAAAGACCACATCACAAATGAGGAATTATAGAGAGAATAACAAGTGTCACTGGACCACATGAAAAATTGCTATTAAGAAAAGAAAACTGGAGTGGTATGGATACAAAAGACCATCATCACACAGCCTTGCAAAAAACCATATTGCCCTCTACCGGAACAGAAGTGTAATGCTGCCGACTTGACTGAATTCAATAACAATGCCAAAAATTGTGCCCAGCTTTGAAACACAACATCTAGTTTATATTGGCAGCCTCTGCGTGGTAATTGTTTTAATTGTATTTATATTGTTTTACTGTACAGGCCTATAATGTTCATATATTTAACACAAGCTCTATCAGCAAGACAATATTCCTTATTGGATAATATATTCCTTATTGGACAATGATGTCCTGCCCCTGTGACCAGGGGCAGGACATCATTAATAGTGCCTCATCAGTCCTACCAGCGGTTGTAGGATTGAATGAATCGAAGATGCAAGCACAAGCAAGGATTTTTAAAAAAAAGTCACTTTTTAATTTTACAGAAAATCGCAGCTTAAAACAAGGCTAAGAGCTACTTTGGGTAATGGGCTAGAAATGAATAGCTCAGTGGAGCAAAAGAAAAGAATTCACATTCAGGTACGTCATAAAGATAGATTTTACCTACCTTTACATTGCATTCCCTGTCTAAATAGTCCAACTAAAAGTTTTCTACAATATTGACACACAGTTGGTTTGGCGTAGTTATGAATCACAAAGGTATGGGGAACTTTGACTTTACTAGCCAGTGCCTTGTCCACTCCAATTGGTCGACAACTCCACGAATTTGATCGCTTCTCCTTGCTGAAATCTGACGATCTGGATAGCAAGCTCTAAAAGAAAGAACAAGGAGAATTCATTTTTTTAACCCATGAAAAAAGTCATTGTACTAAAAAATCAAATTTTATATTAAAAGTCTAATAATCATCAAATGTAATTAATGAAAGCACTAAAAGTTTCATCTAGTAACTTCCACATTTATAATACTATATTGATAGCAGGCAATGCATACGAACCATTCACAGGTCTGAGAATAGTGGATACTGTATTTTAATGTGTATACCGGCAGCATGAATTGAGGTAATATTTGTGACCTTGTAAAAACTATACCATTTAGAAAATAAAAATATAATGGCATGCAATCAAATAGAAATGCAGACAGCAAAATTAACGTACTCTTTGATTCAAAATGTTGGAATATTTGTGTTTTACCAACCATTTTTAACTTTAATGTTGATTTATAATTTGAAATGTGAATATTTCTCATCTTTCTCTTCCCTGTGCCTCCCTTACATTTTGCTTTGATTTCATGTAAAATATTGTTTCATCATTATCTCCACCAACGAAGTTAGCAGGAGGTTATGTTTTTGCCCCTGTTTATTTATTTATTTATTTGTCTGTTGGCATATTTGTTGTAACAGCCTAGATCCCATATTTTTTATCACAAATTCGTCAAAATTGGCCACAATGTTCCTTTACCTAAGATCTAGAGCTGATTAAATTTTGAAGGGTCAGGGTCAAAGGTCAAGGTCACTATCAACGAAAAACTTTTTTTTAATTTATTTGTCTACAGCCCATAGTTTTAATCACAAACTTGTCAAACTTTGTCACAATGTTCCATGACCAAAGATCTCACAGTATTTGAATGTTGAAGGGTAAAGGGTTAAAGATCATGGTCACAATCAATAAAAAATAATTTTTTGATATAGTTTTTATCAAAAATTTGATCAAACTTGGCCACAATGTTCCTTTACCAAAGATTTGGAAGTAACTAAATTTTAAAGGGTCAGGGTCAAAGGCACAACGATCAAAAAACTTGTATAACTGTTTGCCGTATAGACGTGTATGTGTGTGTACTCATACAGGCTTGCCGGTAAAGTATAAACAAACTTATGACCATTAATTTCAAAATGATATGTGAAAACAGTTTGGTGTACAGTGGTTGGAAGAGTGTTTTCCACACTACGAGCCCCGGGTTCAAATTTTATTGTTGTGGTGTTTGTACTGTCACTTTTTATATCTATATTTCTACTTTTGTATTTTAATTGTAATGAGCGAGCCATTGTAGAGATGTTTGCCACATGTTGGTTTGTCTCACTTCTGTATTTTTGTAAAGTTTATTAAACAAAAATAATTATTATAAATTTAAATTACAATTTCTAAGCTGTAAACATATTATAATGTATAATATATGGTAAAAAATGCCAACATTTTCAAACCAATTCAGACTCGCCAACAGGCCATGAATCATGATACGAAAAGTTCTAATTCAAGTCAATGTGACCATGGCAATAATAGCATTTATTAAAGTTAATACAGCACATGCTCTTGGTTGTCTAAAAATAGAACGATATCATTAGTTACTGTCAACTGAGGTTATTTTCCAGTGATTCTTACTTGCGGAAGTGCAAGAGGCTATCCCAATATCTAGGAGACTCCAGTGATTTTATTAAAAATATGATTATTAGATCTTTCCCCACACAATAAAAGAGTGGAATGATCAGTTTAAAATTTCCCAAAATGATGAAACTAAGTTTAATGCCAGCCTTCTTGCAAGACCCATTTTTCTTAAGTCAAATTACAAATTTACTAATTTAGTACAGTCCAACCGCATTTTTGGAGGATCCACTACCACATTAGCGTACTATGCACAAGCAATGATCACAAAACTGTGTTCTTCCCATGCATGTCCATGCGCATGCCCAGAATGATCTATCTTGGATTTTCCTCTCAGGTGCTTGACAGTGAAGTTTTTAACTGTAGCATAAGATGCGATCGCCAAATCTGTAAAATGCAAATGTACCCTCAAGTTCACCATTTTTATTTGGAAAACTTATTGGAGCACCTTCACTTAAGCAAAGAAAACGCCAGAGCTATCTTTAGTAGTTCTGTCTCAGACTGGTGTACAAAGTGAATTCTAATGGAACTTGTTATCTAGACCTCCCAGGCACATTGTCATAATGTAATTTACAAATCTCATTACAGCTTCATATAATCATCATGTACAGTTACAATTTTAGAAAGGGTAGTTGGTGAAAGTATAAGAGCAAGTAAAGGATAAAATCATCCTTAACTAATTTGGCTGCTCTAAAGGAGTATCAATGGTTGTCACATAGTAGATTTTCTCCATGAATGCTACAAAGCTATTGATGTTCGCCAAGAGATCAGAGTGCTCCTTCTCAATTTTGAAAAGCTTATGACCTGGTGGACCACAATGTCTTTATTGATAAATTAAGACAGCTTGATATAGATATTTTTTTAATTTCCTGGGTGGCATCTTTGCTATGTGACAGAAAGCAACGTATTAAGCTTGGATCTGTTTTTGTAGTTGGGTTTTCTATAAATGGGGGGAATACCTTAAACTTCAATTTTGATTTGACTTATGGGAGATAAATGTATTTTGTATTTCGTGTAAGTCACGATGCGGTTGTGTTTAAGACAGACAGTAGGATTAGGCCTAGAATGTTTAATTTGGTTGTTTCTAATAAACAACATTTTTAATATGATAATAAAACTGTGCACGAAAAAGAATATATTCAGATAACTGTTATGATCTAGGCAGCCTACATGGCTTTAATTGGCTGATATTTTAGTGCTAGGCTGGCTAGCCTACAAAACGGCAAAAAGACAAGATGATTCACACAATCGTACGTATCTTCATATTGTGGTATCTGTTGTAAATGTTTATTTATAATTCTGTATATTTTACATTTAGCAGATTTTTAGTCACAGTAATTTTTTGGCCACTTATGACTAATTTTTAAAAAGTATATCTTTGTATACTTGCTTTTTAGTTGTAGACAATAGCCACTCTATTTCCTTATTCATATTATAATATTTTCACAATCACAATGATATAATACAAATCAAAATGTTTTATCTTCAGTTTGTTTAACCCTTCTGAATAAACAGCTTCAATAAAAGAAGAAGTAATTATCAATTAAATTAAATGAGACATATGCTGATGCCAATATGTAAAAAAATACCATACTACCAGTACAATACTACTTGCCTGCCTAAAATTCTTATTGTTGAGCCAACCTCATAAACTTAGGGTTAGGGCTTAATTGTTAGGACTTTAATTTAAGATCTGACAACAAAAACGGTCAATGTTTTCTCTTTTGTCATAGCAATTATCTAGAGTTTGTTAATGTACAGAAAAACACATAATAATGCAAAAAATAATTCAGATTTTTGTTTGAATATAAGGGTTTTACAGGTTAGCTGGTGTTTGTATTGTTGAATGACACCATTGCGTTGTTTCCTGCACATTATGTCTATATCAATGAGACTTCCTTCTAAGTCTAACATATACATATTTACATTTCTTCTACTTATTGTTTTAGCATTTTATTTTTAGTTAATTAATATTCATTTACTAAGATTTTTATTTTAGTTGCTTTTGGAATTTGTTCTTTTACGGTACTTACTCCACTTTGTGTTTTTGTGTCTTACACAAATTATTTCCTCTGCAAATGTTACAAAAAGCTAGGCACTAACTCCAAAAATATTCAGAGTGCTACAAACTTAAAATGGTATAAAACCCCGCCAACATTTTTAGGAAATTGTTTTCAATAATATTTTACCGTTGTTTCATCTGCTGGTCCTGAAAGACTTTCTTGTGACATCGCTGTCAGAGGTAGACTCACGTTACCTCCCACTGATAATGACGGCCGACGTATTTTAGATAGTGTACAATCATTTGGAATTTTCCAAGCACATCTCTTATGGTAGTTACACCCACAACCTACAAAAAAAGAGCAACATTGATCAATAATCTAATTATTGGGCTTGTTGTATCCTACCTGTTCCTCCTTACTGGAAGTATCATAGGCCATGTTTATATAACGCACATGTTACAAACACAGATCTGGGGTTACAAACGTTTTCTTCTGTCTGTGGTCAATCCGTGCTTTGTAGTCTTTTGTCCAGATGGTATTGTAATAACATGTAATCCGGCCGTTTATACAACTCACATCCGAATACCGTACTGATCAATCTTTGTGGAGAGTATTGTATAAACAGGCCAGGGTATATCATCTAGACTAGCATACTGCAACGATACATCTGTGACTCTAACCAGTAGGTATACTAGAGTCACGGTAAGTCATGTGGCCCGAGACATGAAAGCATTGGATGAGAGCCTATAAACTGTGTAGTAGAGTGCTGGGTATTAGTAAGAGAGGCCTCTCCAAAGCCTCTTTGGACTAGTGTCCTGGAATTGGCCTTCGAAAGCTTCTAGAATACAGAACTTGTGGTAGATATACGATATTATAGTCTAGTGTATTTACTGTATGTTCCAGTCATTTTTGCATTATATATTTTCAATAATTATCAGCTCTGTTCTTTTTGTTTTTTCATAAAATCCCAATTGGATTTTAAAGTTCCAATTAAGTCATTTTACTTATTTTTATATTTCAATTATTTAATTCACATAAATATATTTTTTTATCTAGTCAGGAAGCTACTTCTTCATTCTGGACTTAAATATATGATGCAAGGAGAAGGGACAATGGAAGAGAGGTTGATTAAATTTATGTATGAATTACTTACAATGGGTTTATTCAACAAAAATTCAAAATTCATAAAAACATAAAATTATAGAGCAAAGTCAAGCTATTAAGAACCAGAGCCTTGCAGGCATCAACGTTCCTATGCATGATACATGACTTAAAAAGTATATAGGCCCTATATATATATACGTGTATATATATACACGTACATATACATACATATATACACCTATATATATACGTATATATATATACGTATAGTAGTAGAGTGCTGGGTATTAGTAAGAGAGGCCTCTCCAAAGCCTCTTTGGACTAGTGTCCTGGAATTGGCCTTCGAAAGCTTCTAGAATACAGAACTTGTGGTAGATATACGATATTATAGTCTAGTGTATTTACTGTATGTTCCAGTCATTTTTGCATTATATATTTTCAATAATTATCAGCTCTGTTCTTTTTGTTTTTTCATAAAATCCCAATTGGATTTTAAAGTTCCAATTAAGTCATTTTACTTATTTTTATATTTCAATTATTTAATTCACATAAATATATTTTTTTATCTAGTCAGGAAGCTACTTCTTCATTCTGGACCTAAATATATGATGCAAGGAGAAGGGACAATGGAAGAGAGGTTGATTAAGTTTATGTATGAATTACTTACAATGGGTTTATTCAACAAAAATTCAAAATCCATAAAAACATAAAATTATAGAGCAAAGTCAAGCTATTAAGAAAAAAGCATGAAGCTAACCTTGGCAGATCAGCTGGTACACAGGATTAGTGGTAATGATATGAGCTGGTGCCACAGTCGAATGAGCAAGTAAATAGCTAAGGGTTAACCCATGGATATTTACTTTTCTGTAGCTTCTATATTATTGCTGTTTATTGTTTATCTGTAATGTCATTAGCCTATACTTTTTAACATATTTCAAAATTGCTTATTTGCAGGGCATACAAATTATAGTTTGAAAACAAAGAATCAGCACATAGTGTTGGAAACACACTATTAAACGTTAATAAATTTAACTAATAGAAATCATAATTTTATATCACACAGAAGTATCCAATGCAAATATGTCTGTACAACAATGTATTTACGTGTGCTAAGTATTGAATTTTCGAACATACAGTGACATCCCTTAATTCTGCAACCCTCTGAAAAGTGTTCATAACTGAAATTAAGTCAGAGATATCAGCCAACCATATAGGATACACTGGAAGGGTCCCCTCTATAAATATGGTGTAAACAAAAAAAAATGTTTAAATGACATCATCACCAAAAATTGCATTCATAAAATACGGAGTTCATAATTGGCAAATCATATATAAACTTGATTGATTTTAGGGATGTGTGTAAACTCGACCCGTAGCAATGTGTGTGAACTCAACTGGTAGTGATGTGCGCAAACTTGACTGGTAGTGATGTCAACTCAACCCCAGTAGGACATAAATATCCAATCATCCAATTTTTAAAACCGTCTTTTAAATCGCATGCGTTTAAAAATATATTTACATACCATCACATTTGATACCCTGCTTGACAAGTCCAAAAAGCATCTGGCCACAGAAGTCACAGAACGTTGGAACCTTGTAGGAGTGTACATAGAGTGTATGTGGTCTAATCTGCATCTCTTCAACTGTAGCATCAGCTAGAAAGAAAACAACAATATTTATAATTCACTAAACAGATATAAAATTTTCTTATTTTAATTATATTATTTCAATATCAAAATTTTGCCATACGGTAGAAAATTAACTTCAAATATATATGAAAACTACTACAGATGAAGACCACAGTGTGGTCGAAAGCTTGTGTCAATAAAATTTGTTAGTCTGTAGAGTGTTGTTTGTCATAAATTTATTGTTTATTACCGAGACTATTAAACACAGCTACCTTTTCAATTTCATTATGAAAATTATTAAAAATTCACCTTATTAGGCCTCCAAAGTAACATGTATAATGTAATATATTCTTGTATAAAATGCTACCAAACTGAAATATGATGGCCTTGACAATTAAATCATTTATTATCGTACAAAACATAAATCTAAGTTCTATATTGACCTTTTGTAGACACGGCCTTCGGTCAAGATCGTATTTACAATGTAAAATACATAATAAAATTAATAGAAATATTATTGAAATACAGTGATGCAACGTATGAATTTTTGCTGATGATTTAAATCAGCACTTGGAGATGGAGGCCTAACTGTAGGATTTTACCTTAAATTCACCTCAAATTTTGATTTATGATCTTTCCCACTTATGACCTGATCTATATGTAAAATGGAGATGTGACTGTGTAAAAATTGCAAGTCTATTTTCAAAATGGAATTGCCCAAATGCCAATGCTTTTTTTAAAGTTACAACATGAAATAATAAACAAATACTTATGCAAGCTGCATTTCATGGACTCACACTATTTAACTGAATGAATCATGTGGCAATTTCCTAATCCCTGTAAGCAGTAAGGAGAAGAGATAGGTAGTTTGTGCCAACACAAATGAATCTCGGTCTTCCACTGTAAGCACTCCTGAGACTAACTAAATCAGAATGCAATGGATGGCGTTCGTCATCAACTACAATTTTAAGTCTATATATACACCCAAAGTGAACCATATCCGCAGCATGCAAACCCAAAATCACCATCCTCTCAACCATTTTTACCACCTGAATAATCCATTCTTTCTACACTATGTAGCATCGAACAGCTCATGAATTTCATGTCGCCATATTTTAAGGTAGAACTTCCACAAGATGGCAATTTTTTACCGACACAGGCCTAGATATCTTTGCTTCAAATACTGCATGGCAAGTCAAAACTTTGACTGGAACAGGCCATAACAGAAACTCAATTTTATGTACGTCGTCAAACGAAGGAAACTGTTTTTAAAACAGATTAATTTGTATAATATTTATTTCTTAATAGGTATACGTATGATTGTGCATGAATTATGTCCTGTCTTTCTCGCCTAGTTGTTTTGTAAGCTAGTCACTAGCGGCAGCATAGGCATAAAACATCGGCCAATTGAAGACACTTAAGCTTGGTTCACGTCAAAGTTCAGTCACTTATCTAAATATGATACGATTTTCCCTAGTTGCGTTCGATGCCAAGTTAGAGCCAGATAAACAGCCAGGCAGCTTCGAGGCCGTCAACGTCACACAGCGGAAGGCTTGTTTAGTAACGTCTACTGTATTTTACAAACCTCTAGTAACAGGCCTTGAAATGATTCCTATTACCAAAGCATTGTAATAATAACATTTATTGATAATCATCAAACTAATCATTTGAACTTAATTAATTTTTCTTCTTCTCTGTTGTTGTTAAGCGCCTCGAGGTTGTTTCAACGTGAGGCGCTATATAAATCCAGGATTATTATTATTATTAATAGTACCAAGATGTAATTGTAAAAAAATTGACAAATTCGTAAACTACTGTATATCAGGTGTCAGTTTCCAATACCTAGCCTAGCTATCCTCTGCCATTGATATATAGGCGACCAGGTAGTACAAACCAACCGACAGTGTAGCTGCGTGGTCTACCGCAATAGTAGTAGACTACTAGGCCCTAGCTAAATTTACTTTCGATAAAAACCTAATTATTTTAATTGCTAGCATTCTCCCATTCTCATTAAAACATCTGTACTTTATGGACCTTTCTGATGGTTTTTTTTTGCAGTTTTTAGATCGCTGAATTGTGTTGTTTACATGCACTTCGCGAAAATCTAGCTTCGTGGTGTCAAATAAGTTGCTGACTTCCAACACACTTTTATATTTTGTCATTGTAAACATGTGCGCTCATTTTAACGACTGGCATTGGTGGTAGTTCGTTAAAACTGAATTAATAGTGACTATTATAGCAGAAATGGAAAAGATTGAATTGTCAATAAATAAACATAACAAATCTGACTTTATTATTAAGAAAAATATACATTATCACTTTGAAAAACGTACGTAATCAGACTTTTAACGTTATTACTTGGTCGATGATGCAAAGGGCAAAGGTCATTGGTAATATCGACTACTCGTCCCTGGGTTTTTACCCATAATATTACAAATAATTTCTGAAAACCAGACTAATGAGACTACCTTGCTGCTGTTGTTAGCATTGTTGGAGTATGTTATTGTCAGCCAACGCTGGCTTAGATGCCTACGTTACGTAATCGTGTCCTTGTAATCCGAGCCGAATTTACTGTTAAACAAGTTAATTTACCGTTATTCTAGTAAAGTTAAGTCAGTTAACGATAAGCGACTTAAGTCTTTATCTAGCTATAATTGACTGGTTCACGTAAAACTTTTATCTAGTTTAAAGGGGATCTATATCTAGATAAAAGTTAGACGTGAACCAGGCTTTAGAGCTGCCTAGAATGTAATGCTTTATCTCAAATCTATTGTTTGTCTTCACATTATATTTAAAACCGTGTGTATTCTGAAAACAACTAAATTAAACATATTGTAGGCTAAATTTTTTCCCGACTTTTACAGGTTGCAATAAATATAAATAAAAAGAATATCTATCTTGCACTACAGTATCAACAAGTAAACAAGGTTTTAATCGTGATAAATCATGAAAACTTTAAATTGACCTGTAGCTTGGTTGGTTAAGATGCTTAGCTCCCTATCCAGGGTCAGAGTTTAGATCATGTGACAACAGGATTTTTTTCTTTTAAACAATGTTTTATAATGGCTTAGGTCTTTAGAGCATCACTGTATAATGTAATTCACCGTTTGGTGAGAATAGCAGTACAAACTGACTGCTCTACAATAAATCATAATAGTAATACATGAGGAGAGTTGCTGACTTTCGTTTTTTTCTTAATGATTACACAACATTTTCATTGCCACTAAATAACAACCTCTGCTACTCTCCTAGCATTGGTATATTGAATAAGGAAGTACAGATTACTAGTACTTGAGTGCATCACCTATTTCATTACATTTTCAAATATTTTAATAGCAACTAATCTTATGGCCACTGAACACTGAATAATACAATGTTTTGGTATGGTACGCACAATACATGATTGTTTCCATTTTTAGTAATAAAACATCTGTTGAATATAATAGAAAAATATGTTTCATTGCACATGATTTCAGAATGTTTTGTTAAAAATTTAATTTTACAGTTTCTAAAGCACGGATCGAATTCTCATTTATTTGTTCCAATTATAATTGAAAAAAAAATCTATGTTAATTACAGCTGAACATTATTAATAATGCTGCCAATTTTCTATGGGCCTGTTTCTACTGGAAAGGAAAAATCGATTAAAAATCGCTTTTTCAAAAAATTGCTTTTTTTCTTGCAGTAGAAACGGGACCAGTTCGAAAACTATTTTTAAAAAAAGTGATTAAAAACACGCAATGGATAGCGTGTTTGAACAGCAAATAACCAATTTAGGCTGTGCACGTTTTAGCACCAACACAATGTCAAACCACTGCAGAGCCAGATGCAAGATCGTATCACAAGCAAACTTTAAAAAGATTACATTAGTCCCCTTTCGTGCCGATGAGCACAGCCAAAAACATCCGCCTTCTCGCTGCATACCGTATCCTCCTTGTCATCATGATCGGAATTCATGTGAAGTATATTGTCTTGCTGATGAGTAAGAAACTATACATTTTCGAAAACATGTTGTATAAACAAAATGTTGACGCAAGTTTTGCCGCGAAAAAAAAAATTGATTTTCATAAAAGCAAAAATGTAGTTGAAACGTGGGCAGGCTGTCTGGCACTCATTGAAAAAGTGGTTAAAAAATTGATTATTTTGTGTTTATCAGTAGAAACATGCTTTATGATAATCTTATTTACTGTGGTGATGTTGTGACCAGTGAAGCATATAAATTATGCCTAAATTATACCTATCAAGGTTAACCCAAATGGAGCTAAGCAGTTGTAAAGCCAGCATGGACTGTAGCTAATACTAACTACCAATAATGCAAAACAATCAATTATGCCAATAGTAATAGTAAAAATACATTAAACTATGGTCAATTTTTAAATTTTTAATTTTTTTAATTTTTTTATTTTTATGATTAATTAATATTAGATTGACATTTATATCTATTTTCCAAAATTTACTAAATGATCAAGAAGAAACAGCCATTCAGAAACTGTAGGTAGTGGTAGATTTTACTACGGAGGAATGAGAATTCCGAACTAACCTATGTGCATGCGCGCAGTTACCAAAAAATGTCTGTGAAATAGCTATAAAAACAGTCAGCGTGCGCTAGGTAATGCTGGACACGCAGTGAGCATGTGCACTGAGTAAGTGACACTGTCGAGCATGTGCAGCTACCAAAAAGACGTTTAAGGAACCAAACGCCGTCTGCAAAGAGGGTATGAAATAGAATTTGGAAAAAAAATCAAACTTTTTTATGCAACAATTGAGCATGCGCAACTCAAGCTAAAGCGGTCATGCAGGCTATGAAAATGGAAAATAATGAGAATTCCGGTGGAAAAGCCTTGGCTTTATTTTATGTTTATGTGATATACCATAAAAGAAATGCATTGAAGATGATATACCAGTAGGTCAATCTCTAGAATATATTAATTTATTAAGTTTGGAAATACAAACCAGTCATTAGTGAAAGATGTTGTAGCAGCAATTTTTTTATAGGAAATATTTCTTGTTTAATTATGGCCCTCCAAATACGCCTCAAATTCCGTTTGAGAAAAAATACCCCTTTTTCACCGTCTTTAAAAGGCCATAATTTTTTTTTAAATGCATTGGATTTTGATAATTTAAAAAAATTCAAAATAATCAATTTGAATTTTCTCAATGGAGAGTTTAGTAAAACTTCATATAGTTTAAGAGCATAAAATTTGAATAACAAGATATTTGGTAATAATTATGTGTAAATTCATGTTCGGTGTTAGACACAAACTCTTCCCACTAGACATAATTGTAGATAATGATGTCATTTTTGCTTGATTAATAATTGCAATGCATAATTGCAATGAGTAAATAAATAATGAACAATGTATTTTCTGTAATTTCTGTTCTTCAAATTGTCTATTGATGTCAGTGTTTTTAGGGGATGCTACACAGTACACCAGAAATTTGCCAACAGGAGTCTAAAAAGTAAGAAACTGTGTCTGAACCATGACTAATTTATATTGTACTATTTCCATTTTTAATTTTATTACATTGAATTGCATTTTTATATTTTTAAAATATTTTAAAGTATATGTAAAAATTCTGTGTTTGACTGCAAGTGCAGTTTCTGAATAAATTGAATTGGGTGGCCTATTGTAGGGCTTCCGGTTATGGTCCAAGATTAATACCCCAGGTAGAAAACTGTAGGCGAGTTTATGCTGTACATGTCCCTAAAGGGACAATGTGAATAAGTTAGTAAGTAATGCATGCAAGAAAGATGGTTGGTTCAATATCATGCTGCCTGACTGGCAGCAACTAAATTGTTGGAGAGAGAAATGATCTACTTCCGAACACCAGCACATGATGGTTCTGGATCTGTTTAATTATTACATTATAACTATTTGATCTTGACCTACCTGACAGCACTGCTTCCACTATAGAACCATCAGTGATATCATTTGCAGATGTGATGAGCTGTAAAATATTTGCACTATTCGGGTCATGTCTAAAAAACCGCACTTTATCTCCAAGACCATAGAATTCATGTGTCGGGTACTATAAAAGAAGAAAAAAACTGTATTAAGCCATCATGCACTATTGTTTTTCTAATTTTTACCATTCTTTTCATTGCTGAATGAAATTATAATAAAACTTGAAAGTAATATATGACATGATCCCAGATGTCAATCCATTTCAAGCATAATTGTTGGCCTACAATTACAAAAATCGAACCATGGAGGCCAGTCACTTTACTGTGGAATTAGTTTCCAAGAGACTTCGCTTGCAAGTGTGGTAGATCATGCTGATTTCTCAGGAGAATTGGCACCTTGGTATAAAGTACAATTTTAACAGTTAATAACCAACAGTTATTATTTTTAAATATTTGCAATCAATTACTTTTTTTGTTAGAACAGCTGTATTTACTCAATTTCAATCAGTATTTAAACAAAATTTTAAAAAGACGATAAATAAAATATCAGAAACATAAAAATGTTTTGAGCATTTGGTTTACAAAAAGAAACACCAAAAAATATTTATCCAGTATGATTAGTCTTTTCATAGAAAAGAGTTTTAGTGTTTGAAATCACTTGAAATCTAATTGATACTTGTGTATGATGACTATACATTCACCAGCCATTAATGTAAGGCTTGTACGCATGTAGTGTGCTTTATAATTAAAGCAGCCATACTGTGAATGATAATGGTCAAACCTGATTTAATGAATGGACTAACATACATCTACTTAGAATCAATATCCCAATACAAGAAATGGTACATACTGATTATTATGTAAATTAATCACATATATTTTTTTATATTTATCACTCATTTATGCTGTAAGGACCAGTACTTTATTATTTTTTGTTTTAAATTATAACCTATGCGACAACCACAAATTTTTATCTCAAGTTCTGTCGTTTTACTCAACCCCCACCATTGTCACACAGTACCTACAACCACATACTGGCAATATTCTTGTAAAATTCATGGTCATTTTCATGTCATTTTCTTTCTCGGAGAAAAAATCTACTGGAAATCAATGATTTGTATAAGAAAAGGACCTGTGAATACCTTGGTATAATGCGAGCTACACACAAATAATCACGTATGATTACAATACTCTATGGGTATTGGATCAGCGAAAAGACTATATTATGCATGTGCCAATATATTGAAAAAATTGAAGTTCAACAAAACAGTCATAGAATAGTACTTAGTAGCTGTGATGGCTAATATTGCATGGTTTGAGGATGTGCAAGTGAAACTATATTTCTGTCATTTTCAAACAGAGGTTCTGGCAATATTTCGGTAATAATACCAGTACACTTACCGACATGGACACAACCAAATTTGCAGTAATATTGCCGTAATATAACAACTTCCTGTAAAAATGGATCACGAATGCTGAGAGAGCAATTTGTTAATATTTTTAGTTACCACAGACTGAAAGCATGCTTTATTGTTTATTGTTTCTAGAAAAGTGCTATGCTTTATTGTTTATTGTTTCTAGAAAAGTGCTGATAAGTAAGAATAAATTCACTGAAGATATAGAACAATTCTTGCCTAATCAGACTTCTATTGCGGTATTACAAAGCTGTTTATTGTTTACACTAGTGAAACATGTGCATTACATGAGTCAGACTGACCTTTTCAACAAGCATTCAGCTACAGTTTATGTCAATCAAATTAATCTGGGCGGGCTTCACCTTTCGGTGGTTTTCTAATTGGTTAACAAATGTCAGCGATGAGCACTTGCCTGTCCATTGATCTTACCCGGCAACACATGGAAAAGCTTGTCAAGATTTACAGTGGAAACCCATAGCAGCAATGACATTACAGTTTTTATTAAATGATTTCAGTTTTTTCTTTTTTTGGAATATAACAGTTTTTGTCCTTTAATGATAGTTTTTGACAATGACAAGAATTTGAATTTGCCTATGTTGAGAACAGAGCTGACCATTTTATATAAATGTTTTCATGTACCATTTAAAGAAATGGTCTGTGGTACCACAAAGCATAAAAAGTTGTAGCGTACTGATGCTAACACAAAACAAATGCATAAAAAGTGTTACAGATGGGTATTAAGATGGCCTATATAGGTATAAGATTACTATAGCACTAACTCTAATGTAATCGATGTTTAAATTATGCAGAGCTGTGTAGGTGCACCATACAAGATGGCTGCCGTAGATTCAACCAATTATAATATGCTAAAGCATCGTTAAAGTTTTGAATATACCTATGTTGAAACTCGGGTGTAAAGGTGTAGTGTACACAATTTCGATTTTCATTCCTTGGTACTTCTTTTTTAAATCAAGATAATTTATTATTATTAATAACAATGGTTAATGAAATAATAGTTAGGGGCTTTATGGGTTTATTATGTATACTAAGCCTAAAGGTGGCACTTTCCTACGGCGGCCATTTTTGTAATAGTACACACACAACTCTGCATTGCTTCATCACTTTGTCAGCACTTCAGTTGTTTACTACTAGCTCTATGGGATGGCCACATTGTTTACTACTACTGTTGTACTCAGTGGCGGACCGTAGGGTAAATTGCAGGGTAACTTTAATCAGTGAGATCACAGAATGTCTCATAATACAAATAACCTGATTGGCAGCAGAGGTCCTGATGGCTACTGTAGAGAGAAGCAGGCAATGGGAAGAGGAGCATGCGCACATACTCTTGGAAGCACCGCTTCTACTCCAGTGATAAATTTGCTATTCTAACGCCACCATGTTGTTTGCAGAATGTGAAGTTTTACCATTGTAGTGCTCACTGAAGAAGCGATTGGCCATGTGGAAATTCTAAGCAGGCACGAGGATGATGCAATAGGCCTCAATAGTTTAGGTTATTTCTAGATACCAAGGCAAAGTACGCCAAAAAAAACAAAAAAAAAAACAAAGCAGTATTAACTTAGCTTTTCTAATGAACTGTAGCAATCTACTAAAAATTGGCTGGCATATAAGATTGTGGCTAAGAAATGTTAAATAATACGGTGAAAAGGTACAATAATTTTTAATTTTTTTTTTTTTCAGTTTTAGCATGGTATCTCTGCATACCTTGCTTGCCTTGACAGTCCACCACTGGTTGTACTAATTTTGTCAACTTGTGGATGGGCCAAGTGATCTTGAATGAACTTGTCCCACACACAAGTATTGTTTCACCAGCGTACATGCATACATTAAAAAGCTGATTGTACGCATGCGCCATCTATGATGATTTAAGGGTGTGTTTCTACTAATAACTTTTTTTTAAACCGCTTTTTTAACGAGTACCAGACTCATGCTCATGTTGCAATTGCATTTTTTATTTTTCGAAAATCGGTTTCCGTAGCGGAAATTACGTCACCATTTTGTTTCTACAACACGTTGTTTTCCTAACTATATAGGATAGTATCTTTCTCATTCCTGTCATGATGACGAGGAGTAAGAAAGATAAGGTGTGGGGCGAGAAGGCAAATGTTTTCGGCTATGCTCATCGGCACAATGAACGAGCGACCAAATGAGGACAACAGTAGGTCCAAAAGAGCAGAGAGGCCTAGTCCCAATATCCCCCACAAAATAATTACAAAACGAATTCGTCGCTCCACATGTTTATTGACGTTTTTAGCTTGTAGGCCTAGGACATGAACAAGAGGACAAATTTCAATTGAAAGTTCGCACCTAATACGATCTAGTCTTTGCGGTGATTGACCTGGAGGTCACATTTCACCTGATAATCGCTTTTTTGTGTTGCAGCTAAAAGGTGCACAGCCAAAATCGGTTATTTGCCGTTCAAACACGCTATCCATTGTGTTTTTAATCGCTTTTTTCAAACTGGTCCCGTTTCTACTGCGAAAATAAAAGCGATTTTTCGAAAAAGCGATTTTAATCGATTATTTCTTTCCAGTAGAAACAGGCCCTTAAGCTAAAATTTTACTAAGATGGTTTAATAAATCAGCTTAAGATATTTGCTTTGGGATATCTTAACTTTTTTTACTTAAGACATTTGCTAAGCTGAGATTGATAAATCCAGGGCCAGGGCAGGACTTAGCAGAAAGGTCTATTACTTAATATTTATTTATCACTTTTCATCATATATTTGGTTTATATTTGTCATAAACCAAAATAATAATCATGTTGCATTTTTTTAAGTGAAAGATCATGATATTTTTTCAAGTACCAACATAAGTCAAGGACTTAAATGGAGTTTAAAAATCCAGAAATTTCAAGTACTCTCAAAGGCCATACAAACCCTGTGCCAGTAGTGGTTTATTGTGTATGTATGTTGTATTTTTCACTTGGTCAGCTACTGCAAATAACCAGGACTTAAATGGAGTTTCAAAATCCAGAAATTTCAAGCACTCTCCAAGGCCATACAAACCCTGTGCCAGTAGTGGTTTATTGTGTATGTATGTTGTATTTTTCACTTGGTCAGCTACTGCAAATAACCAAGCATTTTCAAACATTTTATTTTGGAATTGCAAACATCATTTAAGAGTCTTAAGAGTTATTTGGCTTAGTGTCAGCATTTTGTAAGTGTGACCAATCAATAAATTTTAAGCCGGCCCTGAGCCGACCTAACTTTAGTCTGACTTTTGAGTCAGGCTGGACCTAAGCCGACACAACTTCATTTCTGAACACAAGCCGAACCTGGGCCGGCCCGAGTTCACTTTGATTGCGGTCTATTTTGTAATCTTATCTACCCCAACATTCATGTGAACTGACGTGCGAAAAAAACAAAAACCCACTGAGAAATAAATTGTTATGAAAACTGTAGAGTAAATTATATTCAGTTGAACTATAGTTTTTGAATAAAAGCTGTTATATAAGGATTCTATGCCTAACTCATTACTACTGACAGCCTACCGTGCGAAACATGCAACATCACGCATCACGTTGTAAACATTTAACAGCAAATAATACGTGTTACAATTCTTATGCATGGGTATTTTGGCAGATGACGTATGCTGTGACTTTCTTTTCTACAATTGACTTCCAGTAAATAAAAAAATAATATTACCACCTCAAGAAAACTCATCTTTTTATAGCACACATTAATTATAAAA